AAAATTGCTATTATCGGATCTTTACAATTCCGACAAAATATACAGAAATTCCACAGTTTTTACAAAGTGTTTATAACCACGACACATATAGTGTCAGAATAGTGTCTCAGTCGGAGCGTGTTTTAAAGAAGTGTTATTATCCACAGCAATTTTTAAATGAGATTTCACTGGACACACATCTCAAAAAAGTGCTTTCATAATAATAAGTGTGTTCATCACAACACGTGTACTATTAGGTATTACCTAATAGTATCTAGTACTTACTTGGCCACATACATTCTGGTGTATATATTATCAAAATTACTCATAATAATCAACGTTGCCCTGTTAATATACACAAATATTTGTCATAATCAATTCATGGCACTACTATAATAGTTAATTGGTTAAATGCTGATTTGTGGATAGGAATTTCAGAAAAGAAAATGGCCACTAGTGACCAAATACAAAAAATGTGAACAATGCTGCTTATTTTCTCAGGATCTAGCAGAATACACAATTGCGATAGACGATTAAACTAACACTATTAATATAACCAGAATTCTTGCAGAACATGTCTTGCATTATGGGTAGTTATGGGTATTTTACATCAAACATGTGACAACAGATAATATATTGACTCTAAAATCAATTCTGTCATCCAATGATAGTAGGTTTATAAAATGTTGTTGTTGTGTTAATTTGTTAAGCAGAGAAACCATTGAAAGTAAATAAATGAGTCCACATATTAGTAGTACGACACTGGGGATATAATGTTGAATACCAGTAATCAACTCCCAGTATTGTATGCCATGAACGTCTATTTGGTATAACGTTGTTGTCTAATATGAAGTATCCTTTGTTGGTTTATATGTGTAATATTAAAACATATTTTCAATTGTATTATAATTTACTTTATTTATTTGCTAACTATACCAGCTATTGTGACTGTTTATTTGGTGTAGACATGATGGTTATACTGGCTTCTCTCTCTTATGATGTCTGAATGATGGGTGCACACCACGGTAACTACTGACTTCTCTCTCTCTTATAATGTCTGAATGATGGGTGCACACCACGGTAACTAACTGGATATCTGCAACGCCACACAATTATAGCTAAATCGTCTCTAGACAAGTTCTTAGCACTAAACCTTCTCCCAATACGCATGATTCATCCGTATTATTCCCTGTCATTCCAGTATCAGTATACTCGCGCATATAGTTGAGTTTATAATAGTTCATGACGATGACGCCCGACCTGTCAGTCAGACAGCAAATGTGTCGTCACCATTTTACTTTCAATTAATATTGCTATAATTCAATATTGCTTTTAATTATATTAAAAGAAAAACAGTTCAAGACACATTTAGATGAAATATTCCCTGCGGTATTTGATTAATCATAATTTGAGTAACACACGACTTGTTTAATATTCTTTTTAAAATTAACATGGATTAGTTTTCCATAAAAAAAATTGCATAAACTGAAATAACCTTGTATGTATATTACATGTTGGATGGTCAATGGACTAAAGGACAACCGAGAAGCTCCAGTAAATAGTTATTTGTTAAAATCGGAATATACCAGCAACAAAACATCAAATAAGGGCGCAAATTAGCCGTGATGCTAAATTGTTCGAGTTACATATTGCATAAGTCACGCCACGCCCAAATTGTAACTCAGTTAACCGAACTTCGAGTTACAAGGCAACATAGATTTTTTGTTTTGTTTAAGCTTTAAATTTAATAACTCGAATATACGGGAAATATACAACGTTAAACAGACACAAAATTATATATTGTCCGTAATTAGAAGTTCGGTTAATTGTTAATTCAAGTTCGAGTTACAATTTGGGCGTGGTTTCTGAAATAATTGGAGTGGTCATTTTTGTAACTCGATGTTCGTAACTCGAGCAATACAGCATCTCGAATTAACCCGAAGATTACGTGATATTTTCATATAAGGGCGATTTCAAGACATTTCTCCCAGCAAATAGTTTTAAAACACACATTACTGCTATGATCGTACTATGATACAATGTTAAAATAATAAATATCATTAACTCAGACAACACGCACTCACGTCGACATTTACACGCCGTGCCCGCATTGAACACACATATTTGAGAAATACAGAAGTATCAGATACATCGCTTACCTTTGTGTTTACTTTCCAATATAACGACAGCAATAGCTCTTATACAAAATACACTAGCAATGCATATTTTCAAGTGTCTTTGCTTATACGAAGTAAATATAATACTAGTATGGTGTAAGACAATAAACCTGGTGAATACGTCTTCACAAATAATAGTGAGTAATTATTAGACTCGTTCCTTGTCCCATGGTTCTGTGCGTAACGGCGCTTATACATAGCAACAAGAATTAGCAACCGTCGTTTGTTGTTAATAATAGGCAAATTTAAACATTGTTTTGTGAATTTGGCGTTTAATAACAAATTATTTTATTTATACCACAAGAGAGATGGGAAAATGGTATGATTTGGTGTTTGTTTAAGTTCATTTGAATTTGTCGCTTTTGTTTTTCTCTATTTATTTTGCCATCAAAGTTTACACAGCGCGCTTAATTTTGGTATTATTGGTGAATTATGATAATTTGTATTTATTTATGTTTTGACACCCTGGCTGACCTGTTCAACAGATACAATTCTAACTGTGAACCTCAACTCCAGTTGTGTCGGTAGAAAAATATGATGAGATTTTTTTTACCTTTTCTGTTCGCCAGATAAAAAGAATATCTTTGTAATGGTTTGATTAAAGAGGCACAATAACATTAATGAGAAATATAGAAATCTCCGGATTTTTACAATTTTTGTTTGGGTGGCATTAAATTTGTAGACCATTCTATTATTTTTTCTTGAGGTTGCAACATGTGTCTGTTTCACAGTGACAGAAACAAACAAATACACTCTGAAAAAGGACGCCCAATAACTTGAAAGTACTACCTGATAAGTGATACCCAAACAAGTTAAATGAAAGCTAGATTTATCGGGGATAATACTCGTTATGTTTATGACTTGTTGCATTATAGTGAAATCGATAAAATTTCTGTTCTCCTACTCCTGCTAGACTTTGAAAGAACATTGAACGTTTTTGACTGGAGTTTTATTGAATCGGTTTTGCTTATAATTTCAAGATGTTAAAAAAAATATGTGAAATGTTATACCATCAGAGGTTGTAGGGTCAATCTTTTCATGTGTCTTTCTTTCATACTATGTATTTTCTTTATACCTACTATTTTGGAAATTCATCCATCCAATTCAGAGAATAAATAAATGTCAACCATAGTTCAACAGAAACCGCAAGAAATGTTGAAATTTCTTATTGTCACCAACAAAACCTTTCATCTACTTTAAAACAACCCCCCTTATTCATCAACATTCAGGGATTTGGATAATAATAGTAATGCGTGGCAAAACACATATTGCGTGGGGAAACACATAATACGTGGAAGAGCATACATTGCACGGGGGAAACACATAATACGTGGAAGAGCATATATTGCACGGGGGAAACACATAATACGTGGAAGAGCATATATTGTGCGTGCGAAGTACATACTACGTGGCGTAACGCATACTCGGTTGTACTTACAGGCTAGCGTGGAAAAGTTTAGTTGTGTATGATGAAATCTTGAACGGAGTGGTAGAGCTTATGAGCATTTTTAAAAGATCCATCAACCAATATTCTTGAAAAGACTAGTAAGCATACCCATCTTTACAGGCGAAAGGTGTTATTTAACGTGTTCAATTAATAGGTATACATTCGTATAATATCGCTAGGTGGCGCCCTTGGCCAAATACACGAAACCTGTAGTAGAGTGGCAGTTGGCCACAAATAACGCTAGAATAGAATAATTTAATTGAATCTAATATAACAATTAAGGGGCCAATACAAATACAAAAAATGAGCGACGAACTGTAAACATTAATATCACATTCATTCCAAAAACTAATAAAACATGGTTCAGCAAAACATTGCAGCAAGTCTCAGAAGTATTGGGGTAGCCAACACAATTCGCCAACCATATTGGTTTTGACTAGAGGAGATAACCTACAATTTGAATATTACCTTCCATTCTTTCACCATCAAATGCTAGTAGTATCTATACAAAACAACACCATTATTTTAATTGAGTTCATGAGGTTTTACAGGGCTGAAAAGATTGCAAAATTGTCTGCTTTGTCAAATACAAAAGTTTTCAGTGAATAAGTGAGCAAATTATTACTCATGAGACTTGTTGATTTCATTCAGCTCAATGACGAGTAAGGAAGTTCATCTCAGTAAAAATGTTGTATCATCGCCCCTCGTCCCATACACCCAATGTGTCATTACAAGGCCAGAAACACGATACCGCAATGAAAATTGGCACCCCAGGATAGTTCTTGTCTCAAGTGTCATGGCGCACCAAGCAAATAATCAAAATAATAACAATAACAACGAACAATAACAGCGCGGCATCTTTTATCCCCAAGGTTGAAAGGTTAGACATTTCAATATTGACCAACTTAGGGAGCCCATGCGTCATTCTATAGACGAGCGTGAAGCTAGCCTCAGTCTCCTAATGAGCCTCAGACTTAAAACCCAACCTCATATTCAGAATCAACCTCTTAAAATTACGATATTCGGTGCCATCATCAAATCAGCATGATTCAACTGTTAATCACAATAATTTTTACACAAAATGTACAAAAAATGTATTTAAATATAATTTTTTTGCAATCAGTGTTAGTGTACAATGAATCAATACTCTGACACGGGCCAATTTTTTTAAAATCTGATGTACTGCTCGTCATGATTTTTGTTATTCCATGCATTTTATATTGTTTCTATTATTGTTTTGCAGTTCTATTATTGTTTTGCAGTTCTATTATTGTTTTGAATCCGTCGCTGAATGAGGTTGAATAGAAAGGTGAATCTGAAACTACCTTCATACTCGAATTCTATAGCGTCATAGTGACTATGACTATTTACGCGTGTATTTATCTGGTTTACGATACAAATTAATAATTCCACGCTGTCGAGGTACGTGTTTAATAAGTGTTGCTTTATTGTTCTTTCATTCACATTCACAACCTAGTTAGTCACACTATTGTATTCTGATACCGAGGCCGGGCACCCAGGGACGACTCCCAATCGAAAGTGAGATACTATTTATCCCCTTAAAAATGAGGAATTATTGGTTTCAACGCAGTCCCTCCATAGAGTGGATTATAGCTTCAACAACACGTGAAAATGCATTGAACTGTTTCGATCTTGAGACGTTATCCGGGTTTTCAAGTTGTCCCTGACTGTTTGTTGCAGTTCCAATATTTTATTTTTGCAGCAAGTCTCGGGATAATTGCAGCAGCAAGTTAGCAATTACTATTTCGGTTTTGACAAATCAAATGATCTACAATTTGAATACTACCCTTCATTCTGTCACCATCAAATGCTATGCTAGTCGTCTCTAAAAAAACAAACAGATGACCTTTGACCGATTGGTGGCCATTTTCCTCCAAACAACATTTCAATATGTTCTCAGGCATGCCAGGGCATATCACACATGATGGGTTATTGATGCATATCAATTGATTTGTTGATTTGATTAAAAATCGATGATTGGCAGCCATGTTTGTTTTATAGTTTTATTTTCATATGTCTTTATACCATTTCTAGGACATGATTCAAAGCAGCCGACTGGTGATCATTTTTCTTGCAATAAACATGTCATCAACAGTTTCTCATTTGGACTAGCTGTTTTCTTCAAACTTGGTATTGACATCACTCTTAGTGGGTTACTAATTGATGTACGTCTTCTGCTTTCAAAATTTTATTTATTTTAAAGCGAGAGGGTTGTCACCTACGCACACGTGGCAATTTAGTCCCAAGCGACGATAACATCACACACTCTAAAAATACAAATGGGTAGATGCTTGTTTGTAAACAATGACACGCTATGGCCATCTGACGCATGCGCAGGAAACGACTCCCTTGCTTTAAATGGCCAATTGTTGTGTCTCTTGCTCATTTTTGTTTTTGTTTCAATGACATTTTCTTGGCCTTCTCCATTTAATGCCCTTAAATTTCAATTCATCCATATACAAATGAGGAGTGTGTCATTGACAACAACTTGTTAATAAAATTTTTCTAAGTTTTATTTGAAACACTATTTTCAAAGGTGGATAATATATTTACATTATTGGGAATCAGCCAAGAGACAATCCATGACTTTCCAAAATGGCATTAACAATGTATGCGTATTATGATCACATAATGTTTGTCATGGCAACCAATGACCAGCTCAAGAAATCTGCAACTGGTGTAGCAAAACAGACTGCATGGACAGCTAGTGGTTCAGTGGTTGGAGGTGTAGTGGGTGGTCCTGCGGGAGCACTGGTGGGTGCAGTGTTAGGTAAGTCAATAGTAGTTGTGGATATAGTGGGTGGTCCCGCAGGAGCACTGGTGGGTGCAGTGTTAGGTAAGTCAATAGTGGTTGTGGATACAGTGGGTGGTCCAGCGGGAGCACTGGTAGGTGCAGTGTTAGGTAAGTCAATAGTGGTTGTGGATGCAGTGGGTGGTCTGGT